CGCCGACGCGTTGAGCGCGGCGGATGCGTGGATGACTTGCAGCTACAAAACTATCATTCTATGCGTTATTATTCTAAGGTCGTACCCTGATAAAATGTAGGTTTACCAAAGAAATGTCTTACAATAATCGAAGCCCTTCTCTTTAAGGGCGTATTTAAGGTATTTCAGCCCCCCATTTTCGGCGTTGCCGATGTACTCCATGTTAACAGTGCGGCACAGATCTGGGACAAACATTTTTAGCAGCGACTGCTCAGTCATGCCTCGGGGCAGGAACTCACCGGCACTGCCTGCTACCTGCAACGTGTATACATTTGAATTTAAGTTAGATTTCTCAGAATTTGTTGGACCTTAGACTACAGTGTCGTCAAAAAAATATTATATCAAAAGAATCTGCCTCCTGTAGAGCTCCTTGTGAAAAGGTTCATCCAGGGTGGTACTGCCATCGTACCCATTTCTGCCCTCAAGCAGTAATACGAGCGTTACTGCATTTCGGATTTGATGGGTAAGGGTTCTGGTGAAATCACAGGCACATGGGGCTTGTCAACTTATGTCTCAGGCTGACGGGCGCAGTGGCAGTGCCCTTAAGATTTTTGCGATTTAAAGCTCCGAGTGGCACTGTAACTGTTATGGACAGGCGTGTAGCTTACCATCAGGCGCACGACTTGTTCGTCCCCTCACTTAATATTATAAAAAAATTTTAAAAGTCCCAGATTCGATTCCCGAACATGGAGAAATGTTTGTATGGCCTACATTTATTTCTCTCGTGAGTTTGGTGTAATTTGTCTATGTGTGTGTGGCACCCGCGAAATTATTTCCCTAGTAAGCTATGAACATCGAACTCGATGTATTATTATATTCAAATTTCGAACATCTCTGAAAAACAAAACAATTTGATTGGACCTCAATTCTAATATCAGTCGAGATGAAGTTTTATTGAAATGAAATGTCAATAGCAAACAATTTTGACAATTTCACACGTTAATTGATATCGAACGATATGATAGTTGGGGCCGATTCTAGTTTGTATGACATGCGTGAGAAAAGTTTTTATTTGCCGCCATTTCGCCAGTCGTAACATGGGGTTCCTGAGCACATCACAGAGAGCTTATAATATGTGTGAGTACTTAATTAGGCATTAAAACACTAGTATTTCAGTGCCTTCCATTACGTAACAGTCACATGATTTACTATTTTTAACTTTTAAGGTTATTTATCGGCAGAAATAATCAAAATGTAACTTATTACACTGTTCTTCTAACAGCTGTGATTAATCATAAGAAAGAATTGGAGTAATTTTTATTACCACTTACCAAATATAAGAACCTACTTTAAATTTATTTCAAATAATCTTGAATGGCACTAGTATCAGAAGAAATAAAGTGTTTGTTTTTTAGTAACTCCAAAACTGCTTTGCCTATTTTAATGCCAATTAGACATATTGATAGTTAAGCATAAAGTTGTTCATATTTCAATGTTATTGGATATGTTAAGCGAGAAAAAACAATGGCTAAGGTAATTAGGCTGAAACACCGAAATGACTACGGTAATTAGGCTGAGAACACCGAATGTGAGAATGGCCGAATCCTAATTCATAGTCGCCCTACCCACAGGTAATGCTAACAATAAATCAGGAGTAGATATAGTAATGTAATTATGAAAGTAAAGAAGTTAAGTTTTTTTTAAATAATGTATTTACTAGACAAGCGCCTAAAATAGGCAGCTGTAGGCGCTTAAAATAAGGTGAGACTGTAGGCGATAAATTAAAATGTTTTAAAGACTTCCAACTGAAGTCAATGTTTGTACACTAAAGGCTAAAGCTACTTCAATTTAGCTCTGATCCCAAAGTAAATAGCTAAATCACTTGTATCACCAAAACCCAGACCCGAGACAATACAGAACAGTTAGTTTTTCAACACTGACTCGGCTGGGGATCGTAACCGGGACCTCAGAGTTGGCGATACCATGAAGACCCTGTCGTTGCATACTTACTTCAGAGCATTTCCCACTGTAAAATGGAAGGTGATCCTCGTGGTTCCACTTGAGAATTTGGCCTGGAAAAGTTCCGCTCGCCTGCCCGTTTGTGACTTCCACGTAGCCGTCTGAGTCCAGAGAATTGTTTCTCTAAAATAAATAAACAAGTTTTATAACACTTTAAAATAAATAGAATATGTATCTCCGTCAAGTACCATATTATAAAGACACTTTAGGACATTTCCACTATCGGGGGACTATGCTGGGGTTTACCTACGTTACGGATATTCTAATGATTCACACAAAGCGTTACGCTTCCCTGTATGCAAACTTATTTCCTGATCGCTATTACTTAGGCCTATTTTTATGATACCAGGTGACGGGCCGAACATGTCGTGCGCTGGTGGTAATAACGATATCCACCCGCCCGTCACCCTAAGACATAAGTTAACAAGTCCCAAAACCGGAACGTAGTAACGTATTATAGTTTAACGGCAGAAATAGGTAGCAGTACTACCCTGGACGAACTCTCGATTTGAAAAGCTTTCAATACAGTAGTGACACTGCTATTGAAAGCTTTTCAAATCGAGAGTAAATAAGAATTATTTAGATGCGCATGCTCTATAAGTGATCTCATTGTTTTGGTTGTTTCCATCCATTGAGATGAAAGTCAAATACGCGCTTGTTTTTTTTTTATAAAAAAGGACTAAAAAAACTTCACTTGGCCGCAGTAATAATGCAACATAACGACTATAATAATACATCACACACAAGATTTAAAACTAATATAATACGAGGAAATGAAACTATTTTTCCGGATTTAAATCGCGTATATTTGTTTTTCAAACAAACCGACGTTTCGGGCCCTTTACGGGTCCCATGGTCACGGTTGACTGAGGTGGTACAGTCTTGAACCAGTTATGTCTAAAATGTTTTCTTTGTAAAATTAAAAATAAGGTATTTAATTAATAACTATTGTAACTATAGTGAAAAAATAAGGTGGTTTGCATCAATATTAGACATAACTGGTTGAAGACTGTGCCACCTCAGTCAACCGTGACCATGGGACCTGTAAAGAGCCCGAAACGTCGGTTTGTTTGAAAAAACAAATATACGCGATTTAAATCCGGAAAAATAGTTTCATTTCCTATATGTAACAATCGCGACAACCTAAGAACTTAATATATACGACTCACAAATTGCAAACGTGGTAAAGAAAATAATGTTTTTATTTGAAAGGATATTTAGGAGTTGGCCACAGATGGCCTCGACACAGGCCCACCGCCCGAAAGGGCGAGCTGGAGGTTCGTAGCCCGTATAATTTTTTTTTTAATTTGTTTCACAACTTGAAACATACACAATACATACACATAACAAGCTCTATACACACAGGTACAGTACACTGGGTAGTTCCTTTTATTACTGAACAGAACATACATTACTAACGTTCGAACAAAAAATATGAATATAACTGCTTACATAAAAAAAGACAAAAAAAACAGATTTGAAATGAAAACTCACAAATCATGCTTTGTACACATTATTCCTTGCTAAGGCAAGAGAACCCAAAATATACCAAATTTTAATCTGGTCCATTGGAATACGAAGTAATCTATATGTATAAAGGAGCCGGCCAACATTTGTTCTACAGAAGATGCAGGATGAAAGTATTTCGATTTGACAATCGACATATTTCCGTATAGGCTCGGATCTCGGCGTGTGAAGACAACACTGACGGGCATGGTAAATAATTGAAAAAAAAAACGTTATGGGTACGGTTTCGCATAAATACCCTGCCACTCTGTCCTTAAAGGTGACATTAGCTACGTATTCTGATTTGCATGCTTCCAAAAAATTATAACGTTTGACTTAAGAAGAAACTAAACGATAATAACTATTTAATGAAATTCAGCAGTTGACTTTCGAAGAAAAGCATCCAATTCCCGTACAAATCTGGCCATTCCATGCATACTCCAAAAAACAATGAAAAATATAAATATATTTATTATTCTCACCCCATAAAACCATCCAAACCGATCAACCCGCGGAGCATCTCCCGTAGCACTGGATGGTAAACTTTTCGCCATATCCAGCAACGGGTCTTCGTATCCGTCGAAGAGAATCTCGCCTGCTGTTTTGGTGACGGAGATGTGCTGCCCAAACATTGACAGACCCATGGACAGACCTTTTTGACGGACGTAGCTCCAATATCGCGTTCTGTAGACTGCTGACTGGAAAACCCAAGAATTTACATAATAAACACGGGTGAAAAAGCTTCTTGTTATTCTCCTGGAAGTTATAGGGTCGCCCTCCGAAATTTCTGAATAAAACTATTACTAAACTGCTATTTTGAAATCAGAAGATTGGAAAAAGGTTGTCAACGTCCTAATTGCCAGTTTACGTTTTTCGACTATAAACTTCAAGGGATTTGCGTTTGACTCGCATAATCCTCGATACGGGTTGAACATCGCTAAAAGTTATGTCATTAAATACAATTAGATTTTTAAACCGACTTGAAAAAAAGGAAGAGGAGGAGGAATTCGACTGTATTTTCTTATGTATGTACGTTACGCGATAACTCAGGTATCTGTGAACCGATTTTGATGATTCTTTTTTTGTTGGAAAAAGGGTACGTCTGTATTGGTCTCATTTAAATTTGAAGAAAGTATTCCAAACTTGGCAATTAGACGTAATTCCACGAACCTTGGAGATCGATTTTTTTTTAAATAAAAATGTTACAATCATTGAGATGCCAAGTTTCAAAGCATGAATAGTGCATTCAGTTCCATATACATTTTCCATATGAGGCGATTCAAAAAATTCATTCGGACATAACATGCAAAGTTATTATTGCTCAGCAAAATGAACCAACTAAACTTACGACTAAAAATAAAACTTACAGCGGCAAGAACGTTCAAAGTAGTGACATTATCCTTCAGGGTGCCATTGCTGGTAAGAGGGTCGAAAAAGAAGCGTCTGAGTGTCCGGTACGCAATGGAGCCGTTGTGGTTATTCCAGGTGATATTGACATGCGAACGCTCCTCGCGAAAGCGATATGGACCTGTAACATGATACCCACATTACTTAATATAATCGCGGTTTCGCTGGTTTCGCTACACTGAAAACAATGGATGTTTGCCATGAATAGAGGCTAGTGGAAATCAAAACGCGTGAAACTATTTTTTTCGGATCTTCATGGCATATTAATATAATAGAGACTATATAATAAAAATATTATATTCTCTGTTATATTCCTATACTACGCAATAATAATATAATAGAGATAATAATAGTATAATAGAGAACAGCAGTGGGAAATGTTTGTACATTTATTACGTATTGACGAATTTGTGAAAATGATAATTGAGGAGAAGATAGAAGGGAAAATAAAGAGACAAAGAATGATGTATAGTGAACAAATAAAGAAGAAGATCAAAGTGAGTAGCTTATAAAGAGGTCAAGGAGCTGGCTATGAACCGCGAAGAATGGAGGAGGCTACAACGATAAGAGCCTGCCTTGTAAGGAGGACGATGATGACGGTTTTTTTATAAGACTAAGTGACGGCGACGAATACAAGCGAACGAGTGGCCCACCTGATGGTAAGTGACACGCTTGTCCATAACAGTTGCAGTACCACTCACAGAACTATTTCACAAGAAGCTTTACTGCTACTAAAAATGGTATAATGAAGAAGACGTTAAACTTAGCACTTGAGACTTTTGATTGTCCTTTTTGTTTGAGGCATAAGGTTGAATTGGGATACGATCGTTCACCATCTGGTACTGACAGAAAATCAGCGCTGTTTGACTGTTCACGATCTACAGTATTTATGCTGAGTCAGAACCATGTCAGCATAAAATGCTGCTAATAACTAGGTAGGTAGATGAGTATAAAATTTATGTTTTTCTCTTCAAATATGTGTTTATATCAATGTCCACTAAGTTATGTTCTATGTGCTTTTGTGTTATGCCTTGTGAAGCGATTGTCAATGCTTGTATCTGCTTCGAGTTGTGCTGACTAAACGTTTTATCTATCTATCCATTTTAATCTTTAGTATCAACATTAAAGTGCTTGTGACCTAAACTGTCTGCTTGGCGGCCACCTGGGATGTATTTGGGTTGATGGCAGTGAATAAATCGCTATAAAATTGAATGTTATTTATTGCTATCAAAATAACCAACAATTGAAAATAAAGTGAAAAAGAGATGATTGTGAGAAAATCTCATTTGAAATGTAATTTCAAGTTTTTGGATCTAAATCGAGTATATATTTGCCTCTTCAAACAAACCAATGTTTCTTCTCAGGTCCCGTAGTCTGTCAGTCGTGACCATGGGACCTGTACACAACTTAGATTTGAAAAAATAATTGGTAGTAGTAGTTTCCAATGCGTAGTAATCGCGAAAATGTAATAACTCGATATAAAAAGGGATGATACGTTTCTGTTATAATCAAATGAGCCTAATCCACCCCCATCATTAATTAAACTTAATGACTTGTTCGCAATCGATCTCTACATTGTTAGACCCAGAAGCAGTTCTGAATATTCGCTATATTGAAAAACACATAATTTTACATGTACCAATATTTTAATGACAAATGAAAGGTAGGCGGTGACATAACAAATAGGGTTGTTAGTACTACTTTCATTGTTCGTTGTCGTGGTAGGAGACCGTATAAGTAGGTTATATAAATTTATTTACAAATGAAAAATTGTGTCTTCTGTCAGACTGTTACCGACTTTCTTGTGTTATTTCTTCTTCATCTACTAAATTTTCAATTTCGTAATTAATGTTGTCAAATTTTTTTACCGTCAATTTTGTTCAAACTGGTCTAATGAAGCGAGTCTAATGACTTAGCTGATTTTGTAATATTGATAATTGTGCGCGAATAGTTGTCCGTGTTCTTTTTACTACCAATTATTTGATTTTATAAAGATCGGGACTTAATTGGGTATAAATATATTTTATTTACCTCGACGTTTCGGACGTGTGGATGTCCATGGTCTAGAACCTTTCATCTACGGGAAGGGACTGTCCTGTTCTATCCGAAGGGTCTACTCCCATTCCCTGTCCAACATCTGTCCTAAACAATTACTGCCAAATAAGTAATACTCGACCAAATCAAAACAGAATGTTAAGTATGAAGCTTCATTCGCATCGTGCCTCTTTTAATTTTGTCGACTGTTAATTATTTGACAGTAATTATTATTGTTTTAGACGGATGAGGGCGGAAAACGAGAGCACAGGGTCTGAAGTAAAGACCCTTCGAGACCATGGATGTTGCTACACGTCCAAAGCGTCGAGGTAAATATATTTATACCCGATTAAGTCCCGATATTTTAAAATCAAATGACGTATATAAATCGTGAGACTAAATGTGGCGAAGACTGAGTACATGGTTTGCAACGCTACAGATCCCCTACCCGTTCGCATAGGCGAAGACGCGGTCGAGCCTACGGGCCAGTTTAAATACTTGGGATCTGTACTTAGCGCGTCCGGAGACATCGACTGCGACGTCAGAGCCCGAATCGCAGCCGCTTGGGCAAAGTGGCGTGAGGTGACTGGTGGTGTCATTTGTGACCCCAAGATGCCGGTTAAGCTGAAAGGACAGGTCTATAAATCCATCATTAGCCTGTCCTTTTATATGGCAGTGAAACGTGGCCCGTACTTGAGCGCCATAAGCAGGAGCTGCGTGTCACGGAAATGAAGGTGCTGCGCTAGATGTGTGGAGTTTCACGGAAAGACCGTGTCAGAAACTCCCGCATCCGCGGCAGCCTTCACGTCCGTGACATTGCAAATAAACTGCAAGAAAGCCGCCTACGTTGATACGGCCACATCTTACGGAAACCGGGCTCCAGTAGAAGGGGCAGACCCAAGAAGTGCTCGCTTGACGTCGTCAAGGGTGATATGCGTGCCAATGGTCTCACCACTAAGGATGCCGAAGACCGTGCAAAGTGGAGGAGAAAGCGGACCCCGGGCTCTGCAGCAACACTGCTGAGGACGCAACCGGGACAACGCTCAGATGAGAGAGACAGAGAGTATGTAAATCGTGAAAGTTTATATCAATAGGTCCTACCTATTTGAGCCAAATTGGGTTTCTCGTGGGGGAACTGCTCAGCATTTGTCCAGTTGTAAAGAAACACTTCGAAGTAGATAGGCACCGAGGGCGCCTGCCAGTTTTGGAATGATCTCGACGTTGGTGTCAGAGCCAGATTCTGCAAAAAAGGACAAAAATAAATTAGAAAACCTGCTAGCACGGTACCTTAGCCGAATAGTACGGTAAAAGAAAACGAATGTCCCGAGGCAGTGCTTATTCGTAGTCAGTAAAAGCTTCGAAAGATAATTAAAATTAACTTATTCAAAATATGAATATTAATGCATTGTTTACTGCCGAAAACCTTAGTACAAATAGGAATACGGAAATATCCAAATCAAATAACAGGAAAAGTAATAAAGAAGTCAACCAATTTACAAACTGCCCTCAGTGCTTACTTAGTTATTCGGCGTGCAGGTTTCATCGCAATGTTTTCCGTCACCGAAAAGCTTATAGTAAAGTTTAAATTAAATAAGATATAAAAAAAAGATTAGAGCGGGCAGATATGTTAACAATTGAATTTCGCCAAAAATTTCGATTAGTTCAATTATAATAAGTAATTTAGGTTTTAACAACTGTTTTTAAATATATACGTCCTGTTTTAAAATAGGACGTAAATATTTGTTTCTCAAACATGCTCGGAAACGTTTGCATTACTTTCAAAGAACGAACACGGAAAGTTTGTCATTTATGGACCGTGCGACTTCTTTCTAAAAAAATCCATTGATGTCCACTTCTATATACATTTAAATCTACATATTATTCTAATAATTAACTATGTAAAGATTCGCTCTGGACCTTTTGGAGGGAAAAGTGTCGTTTTTTATTTTGACTTTCAATTATTTTGTGAAATCTAGTTTAAAGTGGAATAGGATAGTGATATTGTGCCTTAATCTAAGATTAAAACGCGAAATTATACGAATCTCGAACTCAAATACCCGTATCGGCCCGTTTTAAGGAATCCCGAGTCAATCCAAGAACGCCGCTTCAAATTGCCTATCCTCTTTGTGGCGGCCATATTTACAGAAACATAATTAAACTTCATGTTTAGGCTGATGGCTTTGCCAAAGCCTTAATAAATTTCAAAAAAAACTATGTAAACAGGCAAAAGAAAAAATCATACAGCCTAAAAAATATAACAAAATAACTACATATACATACCGCTTACTTAAAAAAAAATAGAAAATGACAGTAACACTTAAAGTGTTTTGGTATTCTTTTGTTTTTTCATCTTGTTTGTGTTTTGGTCGTGTAAATGAGTACCAGTGAGAAGAGCGATAACGAAAATACAGGAATAGATACACATTCAAACGCATCTCCAGAAGTTCAGCAAACTACTATTAATGTGCCTGGAAAAGCAATAACATTTTCATTTAGCAATTGGCGTAACAAATATTACTTTTCACTTTTTTTTTACTTTTTCTATTAAACATCTCTTTAGTATTTTGTTATTTCCTCACAATGTTTGAGAAAAATACTATACATGCCTCGGCGGGAACGGGGATTGCTTGACTCGTATTAATACAAGGCCACGCTAGCGCTCGTCCTTGTACTGCCCTCATAACGAAGCGTACTTTACACAGCAGTTGTGCCTTATTTTGTTCCGACTGCAGTGTAACTCATACTCGTCCAACCATCCCTTACTTCCCGGCCTATGCAATAATGTACTAAAAAATAGTCTTGAAAATCTAAAACATGCTCCCGCGATTTTTTTTCCAAGTGGCGCTTTCGCCCTTTCTATGAAACACCGACGACATGATCTTTAAGATAGCTACCTGCTCAGACTTGGAATAGTGTCACTCCCATCATGTCATTAACTGTAATAGCAGCTGATGCACATTAATCAATTTATTGATGATCTATAATTACAGTCTATCCAGTAGGCTATTGACGTTTGATCGTCTTGTATTCCAGTTGACTCCCAATTAACTTAAAAATGACGGCAGCTTATCCCGACTCAATTAAACTCATAAAAAAGGCGAAGGTTAAATAGCCAATGACGTCTGAATTAAACGAGGCCTTGACGAAAAACTATTATATATTTTTACTGTCTTATTTCAAGGATTATTTGCTATGTAAATAAAACCGAACCAAAGGGAGATTGTTTAGTTTTTACCGAACTGTTTTTCTACGATATCAAGTCGCAGGTGGAGGTCTACCGCTGCTAAGCTCTCCTGGTACCTAAATTTCTAGTAATACACATTTATTGGAGAATAGCTCAGAAAATCCGGTACGATTAAAAATAAAAGCCAAAAAATGTAAAAAAATTTTACTTATTATTATAAAGCATCGTCATTATGTAATTCCTAGTTAGTTAAAAATATAGAACAAAATACAATTCAATGATTCCGAAATTTCATCATTGCATTGCATTTAGTTATAATTAACCACTCGAAACACGAATGACTGTTCGGTAAGAATGTGGAAATTAAGTTTTGTCATGCGTCTTATAGGTACGGGCACATTCCAACATAACGAGTGCTTTCTGCCCTCCTTTTCATAACTATACCGCATTCGCATTTCTGTAACATTCAAGATATTGGCACCTGAAGCTTTATTATCACCTAAAAAAATGTGTTATATCTATTTTAGGCTCTCGCGCATGTCCTAAAAGATAATTTTGAATTTTATTATTATTATTTCGCTAAAAATGTCGATTACGTTACTTATGATACGGAGAACAATGTTAGAAGGTTCCCGAAACATTCGATTTCTTAAAAAACAATCTACAGCTCTTTTCCAGAACCTAGGGTGTCCTACCATCCTTCGTCATGCACTAATTCAGTGAAAATAGAGAGGGTTTGATGGTTTTTCAAAATATACTTATTTAAAAGCTGGTGATTACCAGCTTTAAATATCAATATCTACTTATTACTATTACAGAGTACTACGAAGAAGAAAAGGCGTTAAAAGCCGAACTTCAAAGTTTGCAAAGCGATTTTTTTTATGAATTTCTTGCTTCCTTTTCAATTTTTATTGTTATTTTCACGTATAAATTTTAATTTTTGACGAAAAATTTTTCTTCATCTAAACAGAGCTTGTTAATTCAACTATATGAATAGCTCGGTTTGATAATATTGGCTTTTATATCTTTTCTCCCCCGAAGTATCGATATTTTCAGCTGGTGATCACTAGCTGAAATATAGCAGTTGTTTCATAGATAAAATAGATAAAAATTAAATAGATATTAAGTAGATAAAATATCCATACAAAATGTAAGCAGTTAATCAATTTTTTTGCCTGTCAATCGTTTGTTGGGAATACAAAAAATGGTTATGCTAAAATTGTAAATTATGGTTACTACGACCTACAATAAAACCATAAAATATAAATACATATTAATCTTCTAAGCAAGTCATTGACTCAATTTGAAACTATATTTTTTTCAGTCCAGTTGTCAAAAAGATTTATTTCCTAAAGTTGTAGCTCCCGCTGTAGACATTTGCGATATAGTGGTCGAAAGGTTGTTTTTTTTTATAAAATATAAGTGCGCATTTGACCTCCATCTCACCTGATGGAAAGTGACGATGAGGTCGATGATGGAGCATGCACACCTATTGACTCTCGCCTTGAAAAG